CTTTCTCCCCCCAAAAAGACATGCTTTGCTGATGCGCCAAGCAGGATTTCAGCGCCAAAACGGTAGCGTTCTGGCATTCGACTGGCGCCGCCCCGTTGGCTCTCACCGTCGCAGCCGTTAGCGCCTCGACGGCGAGCAACGGGGCAGACTGGCACCTTGGGGTCCTCGAGCTTCCCGTCTCGGGCCAGGCCGACGCCAACGAGGACTTTTACTTCAGCGGCGTGTACATCGAGAGTGGATCTCTGACGACGTCCGTCGCTGGACCTGGCGGCGGCGGCGGCGGCGTCGTTGTAAGCTCAAGCTCACCAGCTTCGCCTGGCTCAAGCAGCAGCAGCAGCAGCAGCAGCTCCAGTACTAGTGCCAGGTCCACTTCTTCCTCGACGTCTGCTGCAAGTAGTGTTGTGGCGACGACTGCGAGGCCAACGTCGCTGTCGACGACGAGTTCCGTGGGTGTGACCACGTCGAGTGCGCCTGCTGCTGGCGGAGGCGCTATCCCCAAGTATGCTCAGTGTGCTGGGCTGACCTGGACAGGATCTGGGACCTGTGTTGCAGGGACTACCTGCAAGTATTCGAGCGATTACTACTCGCAATGCCTCTAGGCCGAAAGGGAAGTAGGATGGGAACGAGGAGGTGGGATGGAACACGGGTAGAAAGATGGGATGCATCATGGGTATATATCGTGTGTGCAGTTCTTGTATATAGCCTTGAAAGATCGCTTGGTGGCAGCAGGAATGGCCAATGGAAACCAGCAGTTTGTGGAGACAGGCCGGAGAGATATTGCGAAACCCCGGACTCACTACAGTGTTCCAGCGTACGCAAGAGGATACAGGAAACAAATGTGAATGCATTTCGTGGACTATTAATGCAGAAACTCCGTACATACCAAAGGGCCCCGAGAGCTGATCCAAAGGCGCCGCGAACCCAGGCTCTGCAATTGCTGATCGTGTCTGACTCCGGTATTTACCCACAACCCCATGAAGAAACGCCAGTCCTTACGCCACAACATCGTAAAAAGTTCAGACTTCCATGCCCAAATAAAGCCACTTGTCAGAAGTCACGTCGAGTTCATTCGTCCACATGTCCAAGGAAATCAGCTCGAATCCGACCCATCGAAGACTCTTGAGGAAGGCCTTCCGGTCGCTTTCGGGTACGAACCGATCGAGACAGATGACGACCTGGGAGACAGCGAAGACAGTCTCGGCAAGTTCGATCAATGCCATGAGGCTATTCAGTGAGCATTTGACTCGAATATTTGATGAGAATGGTCTTACCCTTGTTTCAGGTCCCTCCCAACGACCGCAGAATCGAAGAAGGCGAACAAGGATTTCTTGTCACCCTCGCCGGCCACAAAACCGCGGAAGCTACAGCCTCCAGCGTAGTCCCAAATCTCAATCCAAGCATCGATTGCCTGGGGAGTATTTCGTCTCGCAAAGTAATTGTTATACGTATCCACACTTTCGTCAGGAGGTGAATACGCGTTCGCACCCATACCGATAGACCCATTACTTGATGCCTTTCCTCCTTCACCGAGGAAAACGCCGTTCATGGTGTCACAGAAGAGCCTCTCACACTCTTCCCGGATGTAGTACGCTGCCCCCTCTTTACGTCTTCGACTCTTGCCATCGTTGTTGCGCTTTCGGTTGGAGTTCTTTGAAATGAGCGCGAGTTCGTTGGCAGAAGTCAAGGCCGCAAGAGGGGGACTCGACGGAGGGGATGGTAGTCCTGAGGAGCCGACCTCAGGGATACCACTTTGCCCCTGTATTCTAGTGAGTATATAGTATAGCAGACGGGGTAAACGAGCAGCAGAAAAAGAGGGGCGGGACGTACCGCCGGCGCCCGTAGTGGAGTAGTGGAAGCCGGTAAGGCTCGCAGAAGAGTCAACGATGTATGCACTGGCGAGAACGCTGGCCTGTCGACCGACGAGCTCGCCATAGCAATTACTCGAACTATGGGTTTCGTATTTACTGGGAGCCATTGCTATGGGATTTGGCCACTGTTGCGATGGACAAGGTTCGGGGTCTGAATCTGGTGCTGGAGGCTGCGAGAAGGTCTAGCGGCTGCTGTATGCGTTGGCAGATGAGGCTGTCGATGGAGAGGTGAAGGTTCTTTGATTTGTTGGGATGGAAGAAAATTCGGTGAAGGAGACGGGGAGGAGAAGGATTTTTGAGTTCTTAGATGGATGCGGGTCGTGCTTATACAGCCTTTATCCCCGCTTCGCGCTAGCGACCCAATAGACGCCCAGCACGTTTTGAATATAGTATATCATTGTAAGAGAAGTGAAAGGGAAGATCAAAGGCGGCGACGAATCGCATGAGTTGAGTGATCAATTGGTGGCATATAGTAGTACGACGTATGATGCTATTCATAAGTAAAGTATCATGCTTAGTTAGTGACAATTAGTCTTTTCTATTCAACAGCTACCCGTACCCGGGAGTCTCCCCGATGCAAACAAAGCAAAGCAAAGCAGAACTATAGCCTCAAGTCAACATACGACGACGGTAAAGGATTGATTGACTCCCACAAACCAGTGGTTTTCTCCATCCGTATGTGAACATCCGCTGATAAAAATATCTTGGGACCAAGTGTCATCTTTAGGCTGAGAGGGATGAGTACCAGATTTTACTTTCTATAATGGCGCATGATCAAGTCACCGGTTCAAAGCGCGGACAGAGATGTCGCATAACACAGAGGTGGAAACTCTTGGCTGAATATCTGCGATGGCGGGAAATCCAAGCAGAATTGTTGCTTTCAATATACAGAATGATAGAACTATAGATATTAGTTAGTTAGCTAGGTAGCTAGCTACTCATTCAGATCCCCAGTTCATAGCTTCTGAGAAGTCACATGGAGGAAATAGGTGTGTAAAATATACACACATATTATATATATGTATATATATATATATATATACTTATATATAACTCTACTCATTACAGGGGCCTCTTATCTTATCAACTGCCGACATGTCCTCGTGAGACGAAAGGGGGGAGCTGCTGATGCTGATGCTGATGCTGATGCTGAGGCTCGGAGGTCAGGAAAATTGATCGCCAACACACCGAAATGCCCTGCCTCACCACTTCTCCGACCCATATATGTCACCCTTCTCCCGAACACAGGCTTACATGCCGACTTGCCATTCCATAATCAAAATCTACAAAAGAGACATGTTACAACTGCTTCGACACTTCTACGACCGTGGGCACTAACAAGTGAATCAATCATACGTAAAACTCCACGATGGTATGATCTCCGATGAGGGGTGATTACCCCCCGGGTTTCGATGCTTCACTTCCTCTATATAGCCTTTTCGCTTCATTTCTCTATGTACTCTGTACTATATTACGTAAAGAGAGGTGTACGGGCTAATTTTGCATTCTTAAGTTATCTCTGCAACTGTCATCCATCTCGAAATACACTGTTTCCTCCCCAATGCCTCCTCCGGACTCACGCCCACCATTCCCAACCTATCTTCTCCCCTCCTTCACGTTCCCATTCCGACGGCGGCAATCCTCAATATCGACCACTGTCCCGGTAGGCTCTCCTCCAGAGCTAAGCTTCAGCCTTTCCTCCTCGGCCAACACATCGCCTAGCTCCTCACTGTCATCCACGCACTTCCTACCCAAAGAAACCATCCACGAAGGTCGGAGCAAATCACCCAGGGCGAACACGCAGGCTAATGGAGACTTACGCCTTCGTCGTGCTCAGCCCAACACCCTCAAATGTGTAACGTGCGCTAGCGATATCGCATTCGCCGACCAAGTCGTGAGCAAAGGCTTCACGGGCCGGCACGGACGGGCATATCTCGTTTCCCTGCCCCCAACCGAGGTCTCCATGTCGGCCGGCAAGAAAGACCCGGGCGGGCTACCAAACACCAAGATTGGAAGATCGGTAAACAGGGAGCTGTTGACTGGCCAGCATGTTGTGGCTGATGTGAGCTGCAGTATCTGCGGTGAGGTGCTGGGATGGAAGTATGTGGATGCGAAAGAGGCCGCGCAGAAGTACAAGATTGGGAAGTATATCTTGGAGATGAAGAGGGTGGTGCTTTCGGTCGGGTGGGAGGACGCGGTAGGTGACGGGGAAGATGTGGATGATAGTCTCGGGGTTTATGGGAGGGATGAGGATGAGGATGCGGTGGTCTTTGATAGTGAGGACGAGGATGAGTGTGAGGCTCTTTTCACTGGGACCTGGGATCCCGAAGTGGTGGCCAAAAGGCGGGGAAAGAGGATATGGGGCAGGAAGAAGAGGAGCGTGGAGGTTTGAGATGACCTTGCGTACGAGATGCTTGAGGTCTAGGTAGGCTTGCCTGACCTCTTCAAACTGCATAGGCAGAAGAAGTACTGAGGGCGATTTCGGATTCCTGGACCGTAATAACTAGGCAAGGGAAGATTCATTGAGGCAGCAGCATGGCGCGAGGCACACGGGCACGAGGGCATTAGTGGTACACGATTTATGATGAGTTGCTAAGTCGGCGGTTCTTTCTTTCTTGCGAGGCCTGCTACTTGTTAAGATATCCTGCGTTGAGCATTTGGTCTTGGTTTTGTTTAGCGTTACTATACCCCATCTTGAGCATAGTAAATTTCGGTAATAACGATAAACATCTTTATGCCTTCGTCGTCGTTTTCTATCCTCTTGACTCGCTTGGTTGGCACTATCGTACTGGTTCCAATGCATGGTCTATCTGCTTGCTTTCTTGATCTTCATCACATGTCACATGACCCTGTCCGATGAGAATAACTCACATGAGTACCTAGCTATAGGACTTCACAGGCGCACTATGAGGGTATTTGATGGATCCAAAAGTACCATGTACCTACGCAGGAGTGGTGCAAGTGGGCCAATATCAAAAGAATCGGTCACGTTTACCCCGAATTAACCGACCTGGATTAACCGACCTGAATTAACCGAGGCCAAATGCGTAGATTATTGGACTTGCAGATACTTCCAGACTCCAGTGAGCAAGTTGGATCTGATCGATTAGAACTTTTCGTGAAGTTGTGCTGTGTTGTTTTCCGAGCCAGAAGTGCATGTCCTGGTGAGGATCTGGATTTTGAGCCTGGTCCTACCCCTTATCTAGTAAATTAAGATCAATCCTTACAAGAAAGTTTACATATAGAAGATGGACTGAGGGTAGTATAGATTCTTTTACAGTGTGATTTCAGTTTGGAGAGTATTTCCTGGTTATGTTAGGAGTTCTATTGAAGTGTCGGAAGTTCTATTGAAGTGTCGAGCTGCCTTGTTAGCCGAGCTGTCTTGTTAGCCGAAGTCGAGGGCTATGAAGCTCTCTCTCTTTGTATCGCTACGTTCAAGTGATATCTTGAGGGGATTATGATCTTAATGGTGAAAGCAGCTGATACGCTTTGATCATGCTTCACGGACAAACCGCTGTCCTCCTGATCCTTGAAAACTGAAGTGATGCACGGCGCCCACTAAGACCCTAGTGCTCTTTCAAAGGCCTTCAGACTATCAGATGATGCAGATGCGCATATGTGTAGACTAAAAGACATCAGGAGCACCTTCCCAGTTCATCTTCCCTTGATTCTAGACCAATCAACTCTCGTTGATGCCTAAACTGCCGGTTTGGTCTCTCAGAATCACCACGGTTAGCGCGTAAAATTTCCTATACAGAGTATTTTAACCCCCCCTCCCCCTCCTCCTCCTCCTCTTTCTTCTCCCCCATCTCCACCTCCTCTTCTCACACTCAACAACCACATCTGGTACTGTATAAAAACCCTACTTTATCAAGTACTCAATTCCCATGGTGGTGTTGCTGGTGTTCAGACCAATGGCGCTCCCTAGGTAAGATTCAAGATGCGAAACGCATGCGCTCGCCATCCAAAGCTGACAGTTTACAGTTGGAGAGAAAGACAGAGAGTATCATGTGTGGTAATTCTTTTATTTTTGCTCCCTGCCCCCTGCTGCTGCCTTCTTGGACCGCTGGCTGATTCCTCTTTCTTCCTGCGCTGCAGATCGTTGGATAAGACTCAGCTTCCGGAGCTCCCTCTTCTACCATCATCCTCCTCCTTCTACCTATACCCGTCATCAAATCCTCCATCTCTAAAACATCAACACCACAATACCTCCATCATTGACGCGACAATACAGTTGGCACATGTTGCTGTCGCTGCAGCCAGGAGGAACGATCTGCTAGCACTGGTGAGCTCCCCTTCTCCTATGTCCATTCGCCTGCAGTCCCTAGATCGCTCCTACACTTCTACATCTCTCCATCGATCCTTTCTACCGTTTCCCTAGTACAGTCGCCGGAGACCTTAGCTCTGGGCTGTCGCTTCATTCTCTGTGCCGCTCGATCTGTCTTGCTGCTGCCACGTCACAGCTGACATCACCTTCCTACACACGATCATCTATCAGCAGACTCCAATTTACCTAGCGTCTGTGGGAGTCCCGTGGCTTGGGTCGAGCGGCCGAGTTGCAGATATTCGAGATTCTGCTCGATAACAGCGGAGAGAACTCTAGCTAACGTGCTTTTTGGAAGCAGAACAGTACACGTTGGACGAGAATTTTAGATCAGCACGAGCTCGTCATAATGGCAGGAAGTCAACTTGGTACGACTCCCACGACGGCCATAACTTGTCCGTGCCGGCGACCTCGGATTGCTCGGCTTGTACCGACTGAGTTTCGCAACCTGGCAACACTAGTTTCGATTGCCTTGACTTCAAGTAAGGCGGAGCCTGGAACTATACTAGCATGCTTACTCTGTGAGTGATGCGCGGGAATACTAAAGCTGTGGAATAAGGAGAAGGTAGGCTTCCGCCTCTGTGTTTACTTTCCTCTCACCCTCGAGCAACTAGCCGATTGTTACCAAAAGCTGATCAGAAAGCAGAAGTTCGACACAACTTGAAGCCAAGAGAGTCTTCGATTAGGAAGATTACCCAGTCATGATAGGACAAAGAAGATTATAGAAAGCTGCGCATCTTTTTGACCACCACTACCGAACCCAAATCGAATACAAACCCCGGCTGGTATGCCTACCTTCTACCAAGTCTGGTAAAACCTTACACAACTTATCCTGCCTAGCTTCTGCTATTTCCACAACCCAGACGAATCAGCTCGGCGATACCGTCGCTGGAGGAGCTTGGCCGTAAGTTTGTTAACTCCTGTCATGACTTGAATGCAAACTGATCTTCGATCTAGCGTTGCGACTCATCTCGGCACATTATCTGGCTTACAGCACGCGTCGATTATCACACGAACCCTCAGCCTAGATCAGTACAATGGTTATGGGTTATGCTCACTCCATCTGGTCACCTTCAATACGACTCCTTCATCATCTCCTCTTCGCCTCCACGCCTTCCGATCTGCCTACGACAACTGTGATATTGACCGTCAATGGCCTTCCTCAGACTTCAACAGTCTACATTTCCGACTTCGCATCATACCAAATTGTCACAAGCTTCTACTACTGTAAGAATTCTCCCATGATATGAGCAAAGGTGGTAGTTGCTAGCTATATCTACAGTGGGACTAACGGCCCAACCGAGACATTTGGATTCCTTGCCAAAACGACAGTCCGGTATCCTCCATTATCAGTCGATGATTACACGAAAGTCATACTCTACCCTCTACACCCGAAGGAGACCACTGGTGCCTTCAAGGATCCTGCTCTTATCCTGTCCTTTTTCTTTGCTGAGGTCTCTTCCTTCCTGCTATAGCGTACGTGGATGCCTGCGCTGATACAGTTCAGAGTCAAGAGGGTGAAGACAGCTGTGAGAAGATTCAACACTACGAATGAGAGTGTTCAATGCTGCAACCATGTCTGCATCGAGACGGCCATGTCCCCAAGGAAGAAACACAGACAAGACTAGTCTGTCTCAGGCTTCAAGTACTCACGATAATTTCTGGGTGACGACCAAGCAAGCAAGACTCGAGTAAGTCCCCCCGGGAGCTATTTCATATGGACTCGATACCAGACAATTTACTGACTAGTGATTCAGGCTACTTTTGCAAGAATTTCGATATAAGCTTTCTCGTTAGAGCCGTCTCTTGGCTCTACGACAAAAAAAATACGGTTTTCCGGATATTCTCTTCCGTTGTAGGTAAGCAAGAGCTCTTTCTTAGCATCTTCATCCTCGGCTAACCAGATGAAGGAAGTATAAGTCTTCACCAAGAACCGTCTTTGGATTTCAAGACAAGCGAGTTTACCGGCTCGTCGTTGTTAGGTACGTTCTGTTCTAATTACACTCTGGTGCTTGCAGCGATCATACTACTATGTACGCTCCTCTTCATCCAGGGTGCCCTGCTGGATTTCCAGATCCTTTGAGATTACCTGGGTAAGCACATTCATTGTCATTTTCGGTTCGACAGTTAGTATTCCCACTGCTATCGATCCCGGAAATGACAATGTCAAAGCACACCCTCAATTTCTGCAAGGAGCCCGGTGGATGAAGCTCACAACCGCTGTTCTAATCCAATTATAGGCTTGCCGCTTAATTTCACGACTATTGATCAACCTTCTGTGGTTCCAGCTGGTTACATTAGACAAGAGACTGGCCGCAGAGTCTTCTCGGCTATCTTTGTTGGTATCGTATAATTCTTGTCCTTTACTTTCCTCGAAATCCGCTAATATCTATTTACAGCTCCATTCAACAACTTGGTGCCCAATTTCTCGTCGTCAACCTCTAATGGGATAAGGGGCCACCAACTTCAAATTGCCCGTACCCTCCTTTCCCATTGGAGGTTGACGACGAATACATCCATGCAGCTCCCGTCGGACCCCAACCGGCGGGAAAGCTTTCGAAGCTAGTTGGCTTCAACATCAATGTCCGGATCTACCAAACCGTGACCCCGCTCTCCACTATGGAGCTAGCCTACGGTTATTCTGGAAATTCTTGAGGCCGTAAGAAGAATCTCTTGGGAAACTGCCCCAGCAGGTCTTAAATAAGATCCCCTCGAATTCCGCTAATATTTATCTACAGATATATTCAAAGACTCGGTCCGCAATTTCTCATCGTCAACCTCTAATGGGATAAGGGGCCACCAACTTCAAACTGCCCGTACCCTCCTTTCCCATTGGAGGTTGACGACGAATACATCCATGCAGCTCCCGTCGGACCCCAACCGGCGGGAAAGCTTTCGAAGCTAGTTGGCTTCAATATCAATGTCCGGATCTACCAAACCGTGACCTGGGGGAAACCCAATGTTCGAGCCCGCAGCTGCACTGATACAACATTGACTGGATCCGCCAGAAGAGTCTGCTGGAAGGGGTCTCATTCAGGACCTGCTTAAGAAAACTGCTTCCGGAATTTCAAGCAGGTTATGAATGAGATCCCTTCCGAGCTCCAATTACAACCAGGCTCTCAGCCAGGCGAGTTCGGAGAGGCTATCCCTCAACCGAGAGCCTGCAGCTGCACTGATACAACATTGACGTGTCTTATCTCCCGTCCAATGGGATAGACACATCTGGGTTAACCCAAAGTTCTTCTAAATCATGGGAAACCTGCTGCTTCCGGCACTAAACCGGGGGTGCCACTAGGCACGCCATAGCTCTACCACGGGAGTAATGGCATTGGAAAAGATCAAGCACGAGGATAG